GTATTTCCTTGCTGACCGGACCAGTGGTGTCATTTAAAAAAAAAAAAAAAAACAATTCTGGGGAAAAATTTATGAAATTTTGTATAAACTAATGTGTTTATTTTTCATTACTACAGACTTAAAAAAGTGGACAATGTTCTGCGGCCTTTGGTTTTTGAGAATTGTTTATTGTAACTTTTTCCATACTAAACTAACTTCTGCAAGTCGAAGTTCCTATACCCTTGCAGGTTGTTCCCGTGGGAGCATTGCATGTACAGATCTTTCCGATTCTTAGAAAACTAAAAATTAATTATAGAAATTTCAAGATAATGTTCCATTTCATATTACAACCGTATATGTGTACCGAAAATGAAATATAACGGCTTTTGTATTATTTTGACATTAATTATGGCAGCTATATGGAAAAGTCGTCACGTTTTTTTTCAACTTGTATTTGAAATTCTGAAATAATTAAAGTCTCCTGCTGGCGGCGACGTTCCGGCTCCTCCTGGGAATTCCCCAGGTAAAAATTGGTGATTGAAGAAGAAATTGTTATTGTTAATATAATAAATAAATAAAATAAAAAAAATATGCCAACACATTTTATCATAGAAATTTGGCGTGCCATCCTTGATTTATTCATGCGTTAAACTGAACTTGTGACTTCCCGCAAAATACAAGCGTTGTCGATGGGCTCAATAAAGTGTTGTAGGTCGTAACCTGGCACTTGGCGATATATTTCTTGGCCGAGTTCGTTTTCTTGCTGGTCTGGACAGTGTGACCGCGTGGGAAAAGTCATAATTGAAAATACTTAAATTTCTCGAAAACTGGGTTTAATTCAGAAATTAGCTAAAACTAAGCCCCTTTGAAGGCGATACCGTGCAAGTTGGCACAACCTCTGTCCAAAAGGCAAGTACTGCCGCATGTTCCGATGGGTAATTTCAATTTCATAATTTTTCTTTTCTTTTTCTAATTTTTAGCTCATATTATTTTGATCGGAATCGCTTTGTGGTTCGGCTCCTGGTTCTGGGTTGGTCTTTTCTTTATTTGCTACTTTATAATACTATTATAATATTTGCTACTATTTCTGTATTTATTTTATTGTATTGTTAGTCCTAGCCTTTTTACCAAGTCATGTTTTTTATGTAAGTGGTAAAGATACCTTAAATAAAATATACATTTTCTCGCCTGCGTGTTAAATTTAAAGCAGGCACAGCATACTTTTAATTTAATGGGATTATTGAGCACCCCAAATACCAGACTCTAACTCATAACATGTAGCTAGCAAAATATAATCAAAGATATCAGACTCTTAAAGGCAAGACTTACCTACAATTTAATTTCCCGTCTGCATTCCCAGGAGAACCGTTTAATATTTGCAGATTGATTTTCTAATTTATTGATTTCACAGATTCCCGCCGATGAATACCAATTTTTAATAAGATGGCTGCCAACTCCATCGCATTCAGACACATTTTCTCCTATATTGAAAACTGGTTTACAACGTAATAGATCTGACTTTCAAGGTTTCTGTAAATCTGAAATAATATATATCCGTCTCTTTCCTTCAAATCAATGTTGAAAAATTTCCAAAGCTGGTTTTTGAGTTAATTTTATTCTTTTAATTAAATTTGGAAAAATCATTAAGCCAACAGAGAGAAATATATTATCATTTTGTTTTGTGATAATATCCGAAAAATAATACATAATTCTTTTTTGCATACTTTCAAATTATTTATTTCAGAAAATTATTAAATGATCACGTTCAAATAATTTCTACAACATATATTAAGATTTTTTAGATTTACCAATAGAGTTTCCCAATTATTAATATAAAATGATATTGCATCATATCAATTTTTAAAATTAAATAATAAGCTAGGATCGTCCTCGCGGGACATACCGCTGACCAACTCACATTGATCTGCCTCACCATTAAATTTAAGACATTCTAAGTCTGAAATTGAGTCCCTTACTCGAAAAATTATCTCCTTAACTTCCAGTAGCAGTGAATTATTGGTGATTTCCCCATCTAGAAGATCAATTTGGTGTTGAAACTTTGTTATCTCCATCATCAGCTCGGTGAATCGATTTTCCACGTTTTCAATATCAAAGAGATGGGAGCCGATGTTGTTATCGCTCTCCAAATCCACCAAGAGCCATTTCAGGATGTCCAACTCTTCTATAGTATCATAATAGATATTACCGAATTCCCGTCGCGACACTTTGGAAACCTTTAAAATTTCCTTAAAGATTCTTATCTCAATCAAGAAATCTTTATTTATTTTAAACTCACCGTGCTTGATTTGGTTGTTGATTTCAGTCATCATTTGTCTTTCGATTCAAATTTTGTACTGTTATAGGTTTTGTAATCTTGTCAACATGGAAAAGACAAAACGTAGAATCGGGCAGGTACTTTATCTCCGAGGATCAAAAGTCGCCGAACTGCACTCTCTTCCGGGAAGAGCGGCTCCTCCGCCTCTCTGTCGGCCGTCTGCTGTCTCCGCTCCTCGGTCGGAAATAAGGCCAGACCTGGGCGGATGCTCCTCCGCCTGGCGATGGGAAAGGCCTGGAAAATTGGGTTCCGGAACAGGCCCTGGTACACGGTGCGAGGATCCTATCCTGGTTTACCGGACGGTTCGCTAGAACCCCCCGGAGCTGGAACGCAGTGGTCCTCAGCGCGTCTATTAGGGGGAGTTCCTCTTAATACTGTTGCTCTACTTCATCTTCGGTCGGGTAGGGCTCTCCTTTCGTGCCTTTGCTCGGTCAGGCGATCGGTCATTTCCCGAATGTCGCTAGGGAAGTGGGAAGAAGTGAGCGCTCATCGTTCTGTTGTGGTGTCTTCTGGCGTTTTGATTGGGTTATCAAGCACCGATCAGGTTTTTAAATTATGGTATAGCTGGCGAGAAATTTATGGCTAACCCTTTGTATTAGTTTTTGAGGCTGTTATTCTATTTACATTTTGTGCGAAATTTTTTTTGAATATGCTTGTATATGCTTTTTCTCTTTTTCACACTACATTTTTCTGAGATCGTCACAAAAAAACCACCACCCGTCCAACCGTGTATCGCACGACACGAAAACGAAAAGAAAAGTTTAGAAACGAATAAAAGGAAGGTCAAGAGGTAAATTTTAAAATTAATTTACAGTGTGTAATAACGGAATCAATACCACTTTATTTTTAAATTTAATGCTAACATATTTAACTGATATCTCACTAATAGAAAATGATTCTTTCTCACTTTTCCAATTACCACGTCAACAAATCCATCAGTATCCGAGGCCAATTTTCATTATTTGTGTTAGTTCCAACATGTTAAGATTCCGTAGGGTAACCGGCTCTACGGAAGATTTTCTTTCGCCGCTCAAATTGGCTGTCAAACAGTAAAGTACGCTGTATAACATTACCGGGGAACACCTCGAGGATGTCTTGAGTCGACTTGAGTCTAGATATGGCTTATGAATTACAGAATAATATTCGCCTTCTGCACATCCGAGGATATGACTTATGAATTAATGAATAATATTCCCCTTCTGCATACCTAAATATATATATATATTTTTTTATCGCTAATGAATGGAAATCTTCAAAAGATACTAAATCTGCCATCACCTTGTGTGGTCAGTATGTCTAGCATGCACGACTCATTGCTCTATCTAAACCTTCTTCACATAACGCATACGTACTAAAACCATCCTTACATGTTGTCATTGTGCGATGTTTATGCCTTCTTGATGCTGTGCCAAGGCAGCCGGCATTTAATATTCTGAACCAAGGGCTTAAGCTACGTCTAGCCTCTTCAGTATCCACTATACATGAACTGTCTAAAGCAGCCAAGACTCCCTCTCATTACCTGTATACTTATGATAGGGCCATCATATTTATTTTTGCTGATTTTGCGCTGGTGCGCATTGTCCAAAGAGTGTCCGTCTGTTGTCACCTGCACGTCAATCACATCAATGTGATTTGGTCGGAGTTCCACCAGGTCGGGTCTATTGAGGCCGGGTTCGCCCTGCAGACATGGATCAACAATGACCACGCAGCCTCGCTCCTCAAGTCCCCGCTTGATTCGATTTACTACGCAGTTGTGTCTAGCTACCCGCCTTCCATGCGAGCGATAGCATTTTTGCAAGATGTGGTTTGGTGTTTTGGGAGCAGGATGTGATGCTCCCAAAACACCACGACACACGACACTGTCGATCCAATTCGTGCCTTCCCCTCGCAGTACACTTCTGTTTCGGCTGACCCTTAATACCGATAGTGAAACACTTGTCAGCATTAAGGGTGAGTCCAACAGTAGCCAGATAGCTTACTGTCTTGTCAAGTAGAAGTTGAAGCCCCCGTTTGTCATGGCATTTCCGACCTTCTTACCAATTTCGTTGGGAAAGGCTCTAAGTAAACGGTTGATGATCAGATTAAATAGTATAGGAGACAAAAGGTCACCCTGCTTCACTCCTCTAGCAGGGACGAATTCCACTGACCTCCAACCTTCTCCGCAGAGACAATTACCACCAACCTCGTACGAACTTTGTACGTAGTCGACGAAGTCCTTTCGTGCGCCACAAGCTTTTAGGGTGTTATAAATAGATGCATGAGACAAAGAGTCAAATGCCTTGCGTACATCCAGATTGGCTATGTGGCAAGATCTATAGCTTTTATGGCTACTCCTCAGGACTAAGTCGACTATCGTCGCTTTATCGGCGCATCCGTCTGTAGGTAAGAAGCCACGCTGACGCGGGTCCCAATCGACTGATGAGGTCAACCGTGTTGTCAATATTGCATTTAGCTGTCTTACCAATACTGGTGTCACCGATATTGGATGAAAGTCTTGCGGTGGCATTGCCGTCCCCGCCTTCGGAATGAAGGTGGTTCTGGTCAGTCGGATAAAGCGAGGAAATGGTCCGCACCATAGAGTTAGGTTTGTTACGAACTGCATTTTTCGGTGGCAGTGCTGCTAGCTCAGTCTTTTCTCAGGGCAGAGTACCGCTAGTGCCACAGCTCGCAACGCAGATATCGATAACTCCACTGTCTCACATTAACAAACTATCGGTCATCACTAAGAACCAAAAACGTAAACAAAGGTAAATACTTGCAAATATTGACGGGAAAATCATTGATGACCTAGCCAAGCGCTCCCACTCAACCATGGATGCCCTCGAGGTGCTGCAGGGCACCACCCATTCTCTGTCGGCAATAGCCCCCTCCTCGCGACTACGGCGGTTCCATCTCCCCCACTGGGAAAGCTTACTCACACATTGTGGGCTTTACAAAGGTTTAATAAATATCGTAGGTACAATCAATTATATACATGCTCCTCTTAATAGATCTATCCTTCCTCAGCCTTTAAGACCGAAGCCTGGCCGCCGTCTTAAATATTTACGCGGTCAAAGCAGAGGAGTGGTTTTGCTGGAAAAGGGTACAGGCGCCGCGGAAACTATGCTCTATGAGTCATGTATTGGTAGAGCTCGCATGGAAACGCGGCCCTCAAAGGAACATGCGCGAAGCGCGTGTGTATGGTCACCTAATCTAAAGAAGCTCCAGGGGAAAATAAGGGGCAGGCCAAAAAGGTAAGTAACTGCACTGTAAGCTATACGATTTAACTAATGCTCGCGACCTTTTAAATTTTAGGCAAACAACGAGGACAAATAAGGCTCTCGAGTCTCAATATATATAATCAAGGTACACGTGTATTTAAATTTTCCTAAATTTCAGACACTGTTGGGCCGGGCCTGGAGGCGATGATAGCCCGGGCTGATGACTTCCCGCCGGAGGCCAGCAGCGATACAGGTCTCCAGGAAAGAAAACTGGCGCTCTCCGGTGAGTTATGCAAGGGCAGTCGAAGGTTCGGCCGCCCGACAAAATGGCGGTACCTCTCAACGCCGCGATGCGACGGCTGGAAGTCCCCGAGATGAGGTGGACGCGGTACACCGGAACGGACTCACCGGGAAATGTTTGATGTCATCGGCGTCGACTGCGAAAGGCTTTTCTGGACGGTCGTTGGTACGGGTCGAACGGACACCGGTTGCTGGGCAGCCAAGTCGGGCTGGTAGGTATGGAGAAGTCGCGCAGTAGAACTCCAAATAAATATTCCGGGGCCCTTTGTATTGGGACCCCGGCTGCTATTTAATTTTAAGCACAAAGAAAAAATTGTAGTATCACTTCTAGCTGCATCTACCTGGTTAGACAGTATGGCCGCGACTATCTCGATATCTGCTGATCATCGTTCATACCCCCCGCCATATTACATGGCCTCTCTCAAAATTGGGTCATTGGATATATGGGTCCATTTAAAGTAATCCCAGAGCGAACCGGGATTAATCTTCAAATGGCCAGATCGCCCGCCAGATTCATCCCGTTGCTGCAAATATCGCCCTATCGACCTAACCTATCGATAAAGTCCCTCCCATTCGACTCCAATTGCAACAGGTTCATTATGCGAAGCATAATGCCTGTCGGCACCTCAGATTTTGAAGTTATTCCGTCAGGCCCCGGAGAGCTAGATAATGCGACTCTTGATGCCCTAAGTTCGCGCTGTGTAATAGCGGACTTTACCCTCTCAAGCGAGTGAACTGGAGTTGTCACTATATTTTCGCAAGGGCTTGGGCTAGGCTGAGTCATTATCTCTCTCCAATAGGGTTCCATGTATTATCGGTTTGGCATTACCGACTCATCAGTTTCCTCAAGCAATGCATTAACTTCCTTTATGTATATCCCAGTTTCGCTGGACGACGGCGTACTGCTGCCTTCTGCTCTCTCTTCCCTATTCCGTGGCCGCCGTGCCGGCCTCGGCAGCGTGCGTCTTGCACCCTGTGTCGGAAAAGTTTCCTGGAGATAAGCGGATAAACATTGGAGAGTGGTTTCCTTCCCCTCGATCTGCGCCCTATCAATGATAGCTTGCAGTTTTTGCGCTCTCCATTTGGAAGGACAAACTACGGGGCTATACCCGCGTAGCGCCAAGAAGATTCCACTGTTCGACTGTTCTGATAGTGTGATTGGAGATGTTTTAGACGTTGATACTTGGGGGTTTTGCTCACTATTACTCGGGCGGCGCCGTATGGTTAGACTTGCAACTTCTGGGACGCATTGTCCAAAGAGTGTCCGTCTGTTGTCACCTGCACGTCAATCACATCAATGTGATTTGGTTGGAGTACCACCAGGTCGGGTTTATTAAGGCCGGATTCACCCTGCAGTCTTGGCTCAACAATAACCACGCAGCCTCGCTCCTCAAGTCCCCGCTTGATTCGATTTACTACGCAGTTGTGTCTAGCTACCCGCCTTCCATGCGAGCGATAGCATTTTTGCAAGATGTGGTTTGGTGTTTTGGGAGCATCACATCCTGCACGACACTGTCGATCCAATTCGTTCCTTCCCCTCGTAGTACGAGACTTCGTGGGTAGGGCATTTATCCGCAGTTTGATTCCGTCTATATATTCCTTTCCTGTTAGCAAACGCGTGGGTTGGCTAACCCATCCGTGTTGTGGACCCTAATGGGTCGCTTCATGGAGACCGTTATTACCAACAGACATGTACAATCTATTCGCCCATTACTCTTCTATTGCCCGACGCGATAGCAATTCATTTTCTTCAGCTAGCAGTCTAACTCGGGCCCTGCGCTTTTAATCTTCGATGAAAGAGCTGGACACTTCGGATTGTTCAAAGCGAGGCCCTTTTTAGTTGCTCAGTCGTCTCAGGCGAAGCATCGGAGCCATCCATCTTATTGATGGAATCCGGAGTCCCCCACATTTTGGGGGGCATGAACGAACGCTATCGGCACATAAGGTGGTAAATCTAGCCATTTACTCACATAAAATCGTATTAATTTGTCAGATTTCCGTAGCACACCTATCGTATCACACTTGTGATAGAGTTGTATGATAGGGACGGTTCGAAGGGCACATATCTTCTGTTGTGGTTTTAGGGGAACTTGTGACAACCTTTGTAGCTTTGGACCAATGTCCTTGGCTGGGTTGCATTTCACTCTCCCGTTAGCATTAAAAATGATGCCTAAGTACTTCCACTCGTTAGTTAGCTTCAATGCCGGACACCCGTTCAAGGCTACGCGTAAGGTATCTGGATCGAACACAGTACACTTCTGTTTCGGCTGACCCTTAATACCGATAGCGAAACACTTGTCAGCATTAAGGGTGAGTCCAACAGTAGCCAGATAGTTAACTGTCTTGTCAGGCAGTAGTTGAAGCCCCATTCGAGTTTCCGCAAAAAGGACCAAATCGTCTACAAACGCGGCCGCGTTTATTTAGTTATTTATTTACTTATCGCTTTTGGATAAAACCTTATCTGACTACATATGATTACCTTAAATCTATTATTGAAAATTAATTTAAAAATATTCCCTAAGGGTTTGCCTTAGCATATCTTTCTTGGCCCCCCAGCTGAATCTAATGCTAGAAGGCAAAGAATAAATCAATCTAAGATTCCTTAGTAGTGGCTCATTGCGAGCATAATTCGTCCTGACAGCACGGTCCAGGAATGGAACTATGGTACGGAGATATCTGGCAGAAACATTAAAATGTATGCATCCCAACAGGCAAGGACAATCAATATTTCCTACTAGCAGATTATTCAGAAAGAGAAGGCCAGCAGTTGCACGGCGATCCTTCAAGGAACAAGTGTGAGGCAGGGAACACTGACTATCATAGGACGGTTCAGTAAAATGCAAGGATTGCAATGAAAATTTCAAAAAACTTTTTCTGCAACCTCTCAATTCTATTGATCTGGACACTTCCCCAGGGACTCCAAAAAAAGGAAGCATATTCAACCCTAGAACGGGCAAAGGCAGAGTATACAGACAATCTGGAATACGGATCTTTGAATAATAAAGTGTTTCGCTTAATAAAACCGAACATTGCATAAGCCTTTGGTAATATACAATTCAGGTGCTCATTAAACAGAAATTAGTCATCAAAAAATACCCCCAGATCAACTATTTCATTCAAAACAGAGAGAGGGTGGTAATTGATGTGATAAGTAGGTGGAATGGTTACAGAACGTTTCGCATAACGAACGATGTGGCATTTGCTAAGCTTTAAAGGCAATCTTTTCTTAGAACACCAACTTCCGATACTATCTAGGTCACATTGAAGCAATATCGAATCATTTACGTTACTGACAGTCCTATAAATCTTAAGGTCATCCGCATAAAGAAGGAAGCTAGAAAAATGGATACAGGCACAAATGTCATTTTTAAAAATAATGAAAAGTAAAGGACCAACGGAGATACCTTGAGCAAGTCCAGATGTCGCAGCAAACAAATTGCGATATCGGCCTCGGTGGAAGCAACAACATTACCATACCACATTGTTGAAGGTATAGAAGAATGTGAGTTTTTTGAGTTAACAAAGCGCCTTAGGGTTGGCCTTCAAACTATGCTCAACTTCACAAATGTATTGGTTATATAGAAATTTATTAAGAAACTCAAACTCACGTTTGAACTGCCTATATCTTTCACCATCGGCCGGGTTATGTGTTTTAGAAAATTTTTTGAAGTATTTGTTTCTAAGGTTTTTGAGTTTTTGCAGTCCTTTAGTATACCAAGGAAGCCTGTAGGAACCCCGTACCTTGGAACGGACTATGCTGTCAAGAGTATTTCTAATCGTTGAAAGAAAGGTTTTATAATTAGGTTCAATGCAAGGGTGCAAGGCACCCCAATTTATTTATTTATTTATTTATTTCGCCAACAGTTGGTACCTTAACTGGCTACTTGTCTATTACTAAACTAAATACTAAGGGACGAAAGGTAATTGTAAAGGGTTTTCTTAATTAGGGGAGCATGGGTCCAGCCGCATGTGAGATGGAAGTTTGTTCCAGTAGAACAAGGCTCTACACAGAGGCTCATTAAAAGCATAGTAAGCTCTATATGCCGGAATAAAAAAAGGTTCAAATGACCTTAAAGACCTACCAGGTACGGAAAAGCCTATGCTACTCAGCAATGCAGGGCAGTATATTTTGGAGGACAGCAGGTCACAAATAAAAACTAGTGCGCTAGTTGTTCTACGATCTTGTAGGGAAGAAAGGTGCACAAGACGACATTTCGCAGAGTAAGAGTGAACCAAGTCATTAAAGTTTAGAGAAAGAAGGGCAAAAGATAGGAATTTTTTTTGAACACGCTCAATACGATTGATGTGTGTAGTTCCAGTCGGACTCCAGACAAACGAAGCATATTCCAATCTGGACCTAATGAACGAAGAAAATAGGCTTAGTTTCGTGTACGGATCTTTAAATTGCGTGGAATTTCGTTTTACAAAACCATACATAACGTATGCCTTTGGAATTATGTAGTTTATGTGATCCATGAAAGTAAATTTGGTATCAAACATAACTCCTAGGTCCAGTGATTCATTTCTTAAGGAAAGAACATGGGAACTAATGGAATAAGAGCTAAGGACATTAATTAATCGTTTGCTGTACCTAACGTAGAAACATTTTGACACGTTCAGAGGCAACTTATTACGAGAACACCAATTTCCCACTTTTACTAGGTCATTTTGAAGAAGTTCACTGTCGGAGATTGAATTCACAGACCTAAATATTTTAAGATCGTTCGCAAACAACAGGAATTCAGAATTTGTTATGCAATAGCTTAAATCATTAATGAAGATGATGAATAGAAACGGACCCAATGCACTTCCCTGAGGAAGGCCAGAAGTAGCCACATACGGGCTTGAGAAAACACCATTGCACTCTACTCTATAAATCCGCCCATCTAAATCAGATTTAAACCAATTTAATATTGATGAATGAAATCCCAATTTCTGCAATTTTGCCAATAAAGCATTATGGGAGACTTTGTCAAATGCTTTGGCGAAGTCGTTGTAGACTACATCAACTTGATGATGACTGATAAACGAGTGGATGCAACCTTCCAGGCATAAAACCATGTTGGTTAGGACTGATGATCCGACCAGCAAGAAAAGTTAGCTGCTTAGCTACAATTCGTTCAAACATTTTTGAGACATTACTTAGCTTTGCAATTGGCCTATAATTTGAAACAATATTTTTGTAACCAGACTTGAATATAGGAGAAACTGTGGCAAGTTTCCATCTATTCGCAAATACCCCAGTGGAAAGAGACTTGTTGAAGATCATTTTTAGGGGCTCACAAAGAACACCTAT